TCAACAAGTGTATTTTGTATATAGCTTACATGAAGAACACTTGGTTAGCTAAAATGGAAAAGAGCCAGTTTAAAAAACGAAAAGAAAGAGCCATCATTATATAGATTAGGCTCTTCGTGAGCAAGTGAGTCGTTATTGTAAGATTTGCTTCTACTAATTTTGTATCTTATAATAATTGTACTAAACAAATATCTTCATAAAGAAAACATATCATATAACTGACTAATTGTATAATACAGAAAAATGAATTGTATTTGTTTTTTCTCGCATTTTAAGTAAATTTCGTCTTAAAATATTTTTAAATTATGGTTATTAATCCTGTAAGTAAAAATATTAAAATTGAAATAGAAAATGACATGTCCTTAAATCGAACTCTTTTTCATTGCTTAAATTTTATAATATGTACCTAAGGATATTAATCATTGGTTTTTGAAAGATAACAATAAAAATTCATTCCAAACATGTGGTACAATTATATATATAATTACAAAATGGATAGAGTTTAGCTATAACAACTAATTTAAAAAGTGTTCATTTGATAGAGTCTAGGATCACCACTTATTGACTAACCCCAAAATTTTTGTCCTAAACATTAATCAATCCAAAAATTATAAAATGTCGACAAAGAAAATAAAATAGTGAAAAAATAAAAATAAATAAATAAATAGAAGTCTATGAGTCTATGAGTCTATACTCTATAGAACTTATCCAAAACTCAATTTTGTATTAATATATTAAAATACGTTATTACGCTCCCAGAATATCCCATCTCTCTGATTCCAATTCTCTCTCTCTCTCTCTCTCTCTCTCTCTCTCTCTCTCTCGTCTCACTACTTCGAATCGATTGTTTTAATCGCCGGTGATCGGAGCAAACTCGTAGACAGTGAACGCCGGTGATATTATTTGTTGATCTTTCCTTTTGGTAAGCAGCTTTGACTTTGACTTTTTGTTTCTAATCCTTCACTCTTCTTTTTTCAATTTTACTTTCTCCTCTGATTTTACTTATTGAATCGCATGATCTTTTCTTCTCTGAGATTGATTTCTTCTGATCCTTTTGGGTTTTATGGAGAATCGTCACTTAGGGATTTTTGGTTCAGGTTTCTAATTTTGGTCTAGAACAGTGAAAGTTGTTGTTTCAGTGATCTGGATTTTGAGATTAACATATCCATAGCTTATATTGAAACCAAAACCTGTAAAGACTTTGAATTTGTATTCTCTGGCCTTGTACTCGTTGAAGGGTAACCTAAAGAATTGACCTTTTACTCCAATACCTCTGTTTTGTGTCGAGTGTATTTGACTGATTTAGTTTGATTGCTGTGCGGATTGGAACTACTTGATTTGTTCAAAATGCTAAAGAGGTGGACTTGTCTTTTGTACTTGTAGGTGTATAAGGCAAAGTTCGTTGGGAACTTTTTTCAGCTTGGGAGTATCATCTACCTTTCATGGTTTTTGGTTCCAACAATGGGGTCAAAATCATTTGGAAATCTATTAGACTTGGCCTCTGGGAATCTTTTGGACATTCCTCAGACACCGAGATCTCTTCCAAGAGTGATGACTGTTCCTGGCATCATCTCTGACGTTGATGGATATGGAATTAGTGATGGTGATTCAGATGTCATTTCGTTACCTTGCCGCGAGCGGAAAATCATTGTGGCTAACTTTCTTCCTTTGAATGGTAAAAGGGATTCAGAAATTGGAAAGTGGAAATTCAGTCTCGACAATGATTCTCCATTGTTACATCTCAAGGATGGTTTTTCTCCAGAGACGGAAGTCATTTATGTTGGATCGCTGAAGACGCATGTTGATCTTAGTGAGCAAGACGAGGTTTCCCAAAACCTTTTTGAGGAATTCAATTGCGTTGCGACTTTCCTCCCGCAAGATGTGCATAAAAAATTCTACCTTGGGTTTTGTAAACAGCAGCTATGGCCACTTTTCCATTACATGTTACCCATGTGCCCTGATCATGGTGAACGCTTTGATCGTGGTCTTTGGCAGGCATATGTTTCTGCCAACAAAATATTTGCAGATAAGGTAATGGGTGTGATCAATCTTGAGGAAGATTATATCTGGATTCATGACTATCATTTGATGGTTCTCCCAACATTTTTGAGAAGGCGTTTTCACAGGGTTAAGCTTGGTTTCTTCCTCCACAGTCCGTTTCCTTCTTCAGAAATTTATCGAACCTTACCTGTTCGAGAGGAACTACTGAGAGGGCTCTTAAACTGTGACTTAATTGGTTTTCACACGTTTGATTATGCACGACATTTTTTGTCATGCTGCTGTAGAATGCTTGGATTGGAGTATGAATCTAAGAGAGGGCATATTGCTCTTGACTACTTGGGCCGTACAGTTTTTCTGAAGATTCTTCCTATAGGTATTCACATGGGAAGGCTGGAATCTGTTCTGAATCTTCCTGCTACAGCTGATAAACTGAAAGAGATTCAAGAGAAATATCGGGGTAAAAAGGTAATTCTCGGTGTTGATGACATGGATATATTCAAAGGTTTAAGTCTTAAAATTTTGGCATTTGAACACCTCCTACAGCAGTATCCTAGCATGCTAGGGAAAATAGTTCTTATTCAGATTGTGAACCCAGCCAGAGGCTCAGGTAAAGACGTTCAAGAAGCGAAGAAAGAAACGTATGATACTGTTAAAAGAATCAACGAGCGTTATGGTTCTCCTGATTATGAGCCAGTGGTTCTGATTGATCGTCCTGTTCCCCGGTTTGAGAAGTCTGCCTATTATGCCATGGCAGAATGCTGCGTAGTCAATGCAGTGAGGGATGGGATGAACTTAGTTCCATACAAGTACACTGTTTGTCGGCAGGGAACTCCTAGCATGGATAAGTCTCTGGGAGTAAGTGATGATTCTCCTCGCACAAGCACGCTTGTTCTGTCTGAGTTCATTGGTTGCTCGCCTTCTCTAAGTGGTGCGATTAGGGTTAATCCTTGGGACGTTGATGCGGTAGCCGATTCAATATATTCTGCTATCACCATGTCTGATTTTGAGAAGCAACTACGACATAAAAAACACTTCCACTACATTAGTACACATGATGTGGCTTATTGGGCGCGCAGCTTTTCGCAGGATTTGGAGAGGGCATCTCGAGATCATTATAGTAAACGGTGCTGGGGTGTGGGTTGGGGTTTGGGTTTTAGGCTTGTCGCTCTCTCTCCTAATTTCAGAAGGCTATCCATTGAGCAAACTGTTAATGCTTACAGAAGATCGAGCAAGAGAGCAATATTTCTTGATTATGATGGTACTTTAGTTCCTGAGTCCTCCATCGTAAAGGACCCAAGTGCTGAAGTTATATCTGCGTTGAAGTCACTGTGTAGTGATCCTAACAACACTATATTTATTATTAGCGGGAGGGGAAAAGTTTCTTTGAGCGAGTGGCTTGCACCGTGTGAGAATCTTGGAATAGCGGCTGAACACGGTTACTTCACAAGGTAAGTTACTGGTTTGTCTTAATTCTGAAAGTTTTGAGAAACTTTCCGGTAGGAAAGAAAAACTTAGAAGATAATCTATGTAATGCAGGTGGAATAAGTCTTGTGACTGGGAAACAAGCGGCTTATCTGATGACCTTGAGTGGAAGAAAGTTGTGGAACCTATTATGAGACTATATACAGAGACTACCGATGGATCCAATATAGAAGCAAAAGAGAGTGCTTTAGTCTGGCATCACCAAGATGCTGACCCAGACTTTGGTTCTTGTCAAGCCAAGGAACTACTGGACCATCTAGAAACCGTTCTTGTGAATGAACCGGTTATTGTTAACAGAGGCCACCAAATTGTTGAAGTTAAGCCTCAGGTAAATACACTTTCTCCACCCCATCTTCTGTTGATGAGAATTAAGGAACCCATAACACAATGATTCTCAGAAAAATTAAAAATGTCTCCAAATCTTCTAGGATTCATAATCTCCCTGTTTTATGGCACTTAATTGAAGCAGTCCTTATATTTCTGGTTTATACGTAGTCTGAAACTGAGATTTTTGGACTAACAGGGAGTAAGCAAAGGTCTTGTCACTGGGAAAATTCTTAGCAGAATGCTTGAAGATGGGAGAGCGCCGGATTTCGTTGTATGCATTGGGGATGATAGATCAGACGAGGAGATGTTTGAGAACATATCAACAACCCTCTCAGCTCAATCATCGTCAATGTCTACAGAGATATTCGCGTGTACAGTGGGAAGAAAACCGAGCAAAGCCAAATACTTCCTCGATGAAGTAAGCGATGTGGTGAAGCTGCTTCAAGGACTTGCCAACACTACGAGCCCAAAGCCTAGGTACCCTTCTCACCTCAGAGTCTCCTTCGAAAGCGTGGTATGAGAATCAAAGATCGACGGGATTTATTTAGAAGGAAAATGTGAATCTGTGACGAAACAAAAAGTTCAGGTTTGTACATAGAAACCACGAAAAACAAAAAGAGACAAATCTTTATGTTGCAATTTGCGCTTGTGAATTGAGGCTTACCTCAGGTTTGCACATGTACGTAATTTACAAGTTATGAGCAAGAAATAGCTCTTTCCAATTGTGTTTGTATATAAAATTGTCTTGTGTATGATCTGAGTGTTTACATTGTTTTACCCATTATGATTGTTTTACAAAGATTCGCTATCTCGTAAATAAGATTCTGAGTTTGGTCCCGATCAAAAAAGTGGCTCTAACTGTCCATGAGAATGGACCTAGACTTGCCCCTAGGAGCCTTTGCCAGAAGGAGTATGGACCGGGCTATGACCACTTGGAACAGTCGGGTTAAGCAAACCCTTTTGTCCCCAAGCCACCACGTTCCACGAACTTGGCTTGTAAAAATCTCATATTCTTTATTTGTCACGTTTCTTTGTTTCCCGTTATGTTCTTCTTTCCAATACGATTCTTGCATCTTTATAAGTCGATTTTCGATTGTGTTTGACTTTTATTGATCCTCAGTAAATTCGACTAAAGTTCTTGGTGAATGATCAAAGTTGTAATAGAAAAAAGTGGTGCCTGTCTAAACTCGGTAGAACATGAGATTTTATTCATTACAGTTCTCACAAAAAATACGGATTCATCAAAATATATAAATGCAACACTACTGTTTAAAAGGAAGAAGATAAGTTTCTCTGCAATTCCGTGATGCCTTGGGAACCAAGAAAGGCGGTAGTGCCATTGAGAAAATGAGAGTACCAATGAGCAGAGAGTCTGGGAGATCTCTTGCGATGAGGATCACTGAAATTGACAGAGTACAACCCAAAACCAACCTCGTATCCCCCTATAAGCTCGTATAAATCCATAAATGACCATACGAAGTAGCCTCTCGTGTTTGATCCATTCCTACACGTATAGTAATGTCTTTTTTTCTTTATTACACTAACAAAAAAAGTGAAGAGAAGATTGTATACGTAACTTTACTTACCTTATGGATTTGAGAACACCACCAATGCAAGCATGCAAGTATTTCACCCTTGGTGTATCCTTCTGTTTCAGCTGCGAACCTTGCTTCATCGTCGGTGTACCTATATTTGTTCGCATTGGCAAGAGAATTTAGCGGACTAAGAATAAAACGAGAAAGAGGTAGAGAGAGCAGAGAGAGACCATTCTCAAGAATGTAGACAGGAGGATTGTCATACCTCTGCTTTATAAACTCCAGGACAACTTCCATAGCCCATGGAGCAACATCATACTTTCTTAAACAAAAACAAAATAACTTAGATGACTTGAAACTGTATAAGAAATATTAGCCTCAAAACTCGTACCTTGAAAGCTAAATTTTTTCCCAAAGCTGTCTCTCCCAAGCAAGAAAATGAAGAAGAGATGATTAGCAAAAACAAGATATCGAGATGAACGAGAAAAAAAGATTGTTTTGTTATTGAAAAGATTGAGTTCCAATTCCTACAATGAAAAGATAGGCCCATGTCTGAGTAGAAATCCGGGTTTCCGGACAGAGAAGGCTTGGATTTGATGCTGGTGACAGAAGCCGCATGATAGTGTATGACTCCTACAAAGTCAGATGAGCCTTTAACTTCTTCTGATTCTTTCTCATAGAAAACTGGCAGCCTTGAACCAATGGTTCTTTTCATTGTATCAGGAAAGTCTCCAAATATAAGAGGTCCAAGGAACCTGTGTTTTAAAGAGTAAATCTTTTTTCTTTTCAGATTTGTTTCCCAATTTGAAAAACACTTTGGAACAGTTTGTGCCAGACTCACCAGCCGACGTAAAAATCTTGGGCTCTTTGGGTTGCAATGACATCATCCTTGGAGCTTGTAGAAGGAATAAGCCCTATTATGAATAAGCTAAAGCCAATGGAACCTCCCTGCATATCCTGCACATTGTATATACTTTATAGTATGTTTCTTCTCACACATTCAAGAGAGGGTTGGGTTATGTATACCTTGTACTTTTGCTTGTATAGTCTTGAAACAGAGGCGTGCGCAAGCAACAAATTATGGCCAACGATATATGGTTCAGTAGAAGAGCTTGGTCCTTCGTCCATAAACAAACATATTGAAACGTGTTGAAGTGAATGATGGTCCTTCGTCCATAAAGATGAATTATTTAGAAAATGAAATTGTTTCATCTTTGAATTCGTCTGGCCCATTTCACTTTTATCATTTGCTCTGTTTTGCAAAACGACTGCGTTTTGTTCTTTGTTGTTTGAGACTTTCAAAGCCTTTGTTTCCTTTAGTAACTTTGAAACTGTAGTGTTGATAAATTTGAGGTCTAGTTTTAAAAGAGTTTTTTTTGGGAAATATTTGTTTCCGAGTAACTCCCATCTAATTGTATAAAACAGTTGCCGCATCTTTGATAATATACATCATCACCATACAAATTAGAATAGCATAAAAATGTATACAGAAATTCAACATATAGATTTTGTTTTTGTTCATTTACTTTGATTATCTAATAATAAGATTCAGATTTTTTTTTTGACCTGAAGTTCCAAATCTTTGCCCTATAAGTTCTTGATCACTGGTTTCGTTTGGTGTAATCTCGGGAATCAAGACTAACCATTGATACTACAATTTTTATTTGATCAGCATTTTTTATCCTAGTCTATGACATTCTTTGACTATTCTTAAAAACAGAAGAAAACATTCTTCCTCTCTTAAATCTCTGGCAACAAGAAAGGCTATATGTACATATACACGAGCACACACACAACAACGATGCTCTCTTGTAATCAAATAAAAAAACATGTCATTTTTCTGCCCATTGATCTTCATTTATAGATTATTAGGGTTGCTGATTCAGAAACATGTAGTTGGTTTCATTTCATAAATTGGCATACTAGTCTCTAAACCATAATGAACAAAGAAAAAAGAAACACAAAACTCATGAATCATGACCATGTCTATAAGATGATCAATCATGAAAACCAGAGTATAGTTATCATCGGTTTACCTGATAACGCACAAGAATCTATTCCGCTTCACGTTTTTGCTAAGCCTATACTCTTCTATAGTCCAAGTTACCTTCACATCTTTTCCATTACGAGCATATCCTTCTTTCTCCGTTTCACAAAACTCAAAAAGCCTCTTGTAACCAATGGTCCCGAACTCTGCCTTGATCGGCCTATCATGGCGTAAGAGTTTCCAGTAACCACCATCGCATTTATCTCTTATAGCTTTAGTCTTGTTAGCGAATATGCAGATTCCGAAACGTTGAAACTTCTCATCTTGAGGATCCACAAGCTCCAATGGATGAAGACAATACACGTTGTTGATAACGTAGCTAGGCCAATCGTCTCCTTCAGAACTCATTATCTTCACACAATAAAATTCATCATTCTCTTGTTCATCATGTGAATAGAATCCATAAGATGGCAACAGCTTATTACGAAGAAGTGATTCTGATGTAGTGTTGAAATGCTTGGTTAGCAAGAAAATAATCTCAGCTTCAAACAGAAACCGAATCTTGCAAATCACATGATCTTGCTTCCAGTTCAAGTTATTGGTAAGCCTATACTCTTCCATTACCCAACTTCTCTTGTATTCTCTAGGTTTCGTCTTCTTACAGAACTTGAGAATCTTCTTGAACCCTAGAATCTTCCCAGTCGCTTTCGATTTGATAAGTTTATCACGACCGATGATCCTCCAGCAACCCGATTCACATCCATCGGTTTTACCACAAGCCTCTGTTCTTGGTTTAACGATCACGAATCTAGGTCTCTCAGAATCGAACTCCACATATGGATTCTTGTTGAACACGTTTGCGTCTTCGATGAAGTTAGCAGGCCAAGAATCTCCGTTGACGATCCTACGCTTCAGATAACGTGAGATTATTACTTCGTCTTCTGCGTTTAGCAGTTCCACCATAATGAAACTAAATCAATCAAGAAACAGAGGAACTAGAGAGAAAAAGAAACGTAAGATTGAGTATCTGTTTCTTGGAGATGAAGCGAAGAAGAAGAAGAGAGACTTATTATGTTGATGGAGGATCTTTTAAGTTGGTTGCTTCTGTTATTTATATCAAAATTTTCTTGTTGACCCTTTTACCCTTGCTTATCTCTCTTTATTCGGCAACTACCCTCCTCTTCCACTGTTTTTTTCATAGTTTTCTTGTTTTATTCGAATAGATACATTTAGTCAAAGAGCATTTTCTTAACTTATAATTAAACACAATTAAGTAATGTATGGAGGATTAACAAAATCGGATATAAAACAAGAATGTATAATGTTCATTTTGGCGCCATTTTTTCTTCTTCATATTTTACACTTCTATAGTTGTTAAGCATATCTTTATTCTTTATAAATAAACAAAATACAAAAAAAAATTATCATATGAGTAGGAAAATTTCTTGGTTTCCTTTTAGATGAAAACACTTCAAATTTCCCTTCAACTTGTCTCTAATGAAAACACTTCAAAATTATCTTTATTTTTTTATTGTTTAAAAAAAAATAGGCAGTTTCAAAAATATGTGAATTGTTTCACTAAAAATGAATTTATTTGGAGGCAATTTTTTTTTGTAACTACCATCCATAAACGTTAAAAATTGTGTTTTTGAATTATTTTTAACATATGTTACATGAGAGGTTTTACCTAGAATTTTTCTCAGTGGATTATCCATAATTTAATACATACAAATGTCTATGATTTCACATTCATATATGTATAACGTTTCTTATAATTGTAGTTTCAAAAGGTTGTAGTCGTAAATATTGATTTTCATGATCCGCCGTGGTGGTTTCTATCGGATCGGATTGATGGGTTTTCTCTTCGGAGGATTTCGGATCTTCCGATGATGGTTTGAGAGGTTAGATCCCAGCATATCAGGTTGCTTGGCATGGGACCTGATATCGTGGAGCCTGTCGTCGGCGAGTTGTGCATACCGGGAGGAGTGTGGCGGGTCTGGTGCGTCGGCGGCGTAAAACTGATGGTGGAAACCGGATTCTTCCGTCGTCGGTTTCATGTCTGAGATGCTACTACAAAGTTGTGCTCCTTGAATCCGCCGGAGTTTATGTCTCTGGCTCTCTGCTTCAGGTCGTCAGCAAGATCGGAGTTTCAAGTCCGTCACCGGCGAGTTTTTTCCGTTTTCCTTCATTTTGTAACTGTTGCTTAAATCTGTAAGCCCAAGCCCATGCCCATTTTTGGGTTTATTAATATATATTAATTATTAAAAAAAAAAAAAAAAAAAAAATATTGATTTTCATTTACAAATCCATTTTTTTTTTTTTTTAAAAGTAATTGAAAACTGTAAAAGAACCGTGGTTGGAGTTGACAATGTTAGGAAAAAAAACAAAACAAAAAAATGTCTTACTCACATTATTTCTTTGGGCTTCGCAACATTATTGGGCTTTGTTTCGGCCCATTAAGAATTAAGAAGTACCTTAGTTAAAAACTCAGATAAACCTAGCCGTCGTCACCGTCACCGTCTCCGTCGAAATCTCCATTACTTACGTCGCCGCGAGCTCTTAATCTTCTTCTTACACTCTCTCGACTGTTTTTTCCTTCACTACGACAGTTTTGTGTATCAAATTCCAGTTCTTTCTTTTGTTCTAGGTAAGCTTTGTACTCCTTGAGACTTTGTTGATGAAGCACATAATCAGAGACTTTGGTTTATGATTCTCTTTTATGTTTGTGACACGAAGCAGAGACAAAAACATGGGGTTACAAGATTCATCTCAAGATTTGTCGACAGAGATGGAAGTTGATGCTTTTAGAAGAATCTTCCCTCTTCGTTTCTTTGAGCGTCATCTCTCTGAATCACTTCGACCTGATGGAAGACAACTTGGGAAAGCTAGAGACACCATTGTTAACCTTGGTATAACAATAAAGATTGATTCTTTTTAGTTTTTATCAAATTAAAAATGTCAACTTTATTGCGCTTTCTTGTGTTTGTTATAGGACTTGTTTCAACTGCTGATGGGTCTGCTCTTGCCAAGATTGGTTCTACTGTAAGAAGCCGCCTTTTTCGTTTCGAACTTTCGATAATATTCACATAACTTATATAGTTTCTTGTTTATAGACTATGCTTGCTGCTATTAGAATGGAAGTTATGACTCCTTCTACTGATTCACCAGACGAAGGATGCATAGGTTGATTGTTGGTTCGACTTTTATCGTCTCTTTCTATGTGGTTTTGTGGTTGGTGTTTCATTTTGTGATTGATTGATTCCTTTTGGTAGCTCTTGAGTTCCACATGCCTCCTATTTGTTCTCCGACTGTTCGTCCTGGAAGACCAAATGACGCTGCTCCCGTTATTTCAAAGCGTTTGTCTGATACTATTTTAAGGTTTGTTTTGGTTTGATCTTTCTATTTATATATAATCTCATTCTACTTGGGAATCAAATACAATGTTTCTTCTAAAATGTTCCCTTTTTTTGTAGTTCTGGTATGATTGATCTTAAAGAACTGTGTCTAGTTAGTGGAAAAGCTGCTTGGATGGGTTATCTGGTGAGTACTGAGTACTCGTTGGTCTTATATCAGTGCTTGTCCGTCATTTGATTCCTAACATCTTATCTAGCAGTTGATTTTTCACATCTATTCTTCTTGGGATAGTTCTCTAGCATATATATGAAAGTGTTTCTCTCTAAAATTTCTCATAGGACATATATTGCCTGGATGCTGATGGTGCTCTTTTCGATGCTGCTCTGCTTTCCGCTGTTGCAGCCTTTTCGAATCGTAAGTTCTTCTCTCTTCTCATTCTTTAGTTGGTTTCACAGCTCCCTCTGGAACACCTTTGAATAAAGCTGATTCTCAACTTTATCAATCCATTTCGAATATGAGTAAAAAAGAGCAAGACTTATAGAACACTTAATCTTGCTGAGTGAGTCATACCGGAGTAATATTCTTCCCTGCACTATAGCGGTTTGTTCAGAAGTTGCGTGATTGGTTTTCTGAGATAGTATGGCCTTAGATACAGACGAGTTCTTCCTCTGATGCATAAGCGATCTTTATATTGCAGTGCAAATTCCAGTTGTTGCTCTGAATGACAATGGAAGAATAGTTGCCATCACTGGAGGAAAAGATCAAGACAATGCTTCTATCACCGAGAAAGAAGCAGTAAACAAGGAGAAGAGAAAACTTACGCTTAAGAACATCCCTTTCTCTTTAACTTGCATTCTCCATAAGAACTACATCTTAGCAGATCCAACAACCGAAGAAGAATCGATCATGGACACTCTAGTGACTGTTGTTTTAGATTCCTCGGATCAAATGGTTTCTTTCTACAAATCTGGAGGATCCGCTCTCGCCTATTCATCAGCCATCAAGGTGAGAGTTTCAGGTCTCTCTTATGTTATTCCACCACTTGATTTACACCGTTTTTCTTTCTTATAAAGTTACCTTGCGGGTTTTGCTTTGCGCAGAGCTGTGTCGAGTTAGCAAGGAAGAGAGCAAAAGAGCTTAAGCAGATATTGGGGGAGATGGATATCGACTAATTTATCAGATGGAATCATTCCATAACATTGTTGAAATTTTGTGTTACATATTTTAATCAGACCACCAAAAACCCATTTACACCATTTTTGTTTCGTTGTGTTTAGGTTTTGTTGATCCATATAACGTCTTTTAATGTTAGTGCAAGTTTGCGATTATATGATCTCTATTTCAAACGAAACGAAATGTGCGTTATAAAAATGCTAAACCCAAAATCAATAAACATGTTTGGGTTTTTCGACATCCATAGCAACGTTGTTTTTGATTAGGCTTTTCTTAGAAATTGTTATTAGAAGAATTGTATTGGACGGAATTAACGCATTTGACAAACATCTCTACTATTTTTATATTTTTGTGGTGACTCGGAATTGAAGAATTTGATTATTAGTTATGTGTATTTCTATTATGAATTACTCGTTTTTTAAGGTTATTTATTAGAACTTCTTACTTAACAAGAGAAATGCTCATCTCATCAGTGATGAAAAAAGTAAAAAAATGTGTATATATGCTTAATATATACACATACAAATGGTCTCATGGCATAAAAAAAGTAAAAACATGGAAGCATAATTCATAAAACCTAGTAAAAAAAAAGTTCATAACAGACTAGTGATGTTAATAAAAAACTAAACCAGACAAAATGAAGCAAAGATGTATATGACCTACAAAACCGAAATTCTTTATCTTTGCACTTAAACTGGTTTGGTTTTTGCAACAAGAGTATGATCATATATAAATTAGTAAGATTGTAAGAAAATGAACCAATGAAATTATAGCAACATGATCACGAAACTAAAAAACATGAAGTAATAATATTCATTCTGAATATGAGGAAGAAATATCATATGCTAAGCGAGAACGTCCTCCAAAGACATTAGACTCTCACTGTGATTAGGATACAAACGGACCTCTCTTACATTGTAATGATCATTAAGCTTCCAGAATTCTTCCCCTCCAATACCTTCATATTTGACCCTCCTTACTCGGTTTCTTTTTGGATCATAATATAAGACAGAAATTGCTTCAGATGTTGTTTCATCTGTAAAAATAAACTCACCAGTATCGTGAGTAATACCTCTCAGCCCCCAAGAAACTTCCCAGATCGTGTCACGTATAGGAATAGGGATAAGAAATTTTCTAAGCGACCATTCTTGTTTCTCTTCATCCTCCAAAACCCAAAATCTTATACAAGAGAAGTCGGCGCAAACCCATGATAATTTTCCTTCGTAGTCGAGGAAACATTCGCTAAGTAAATCATCAGCTGGTTTTTTTATTTTGTTGAACTTTTCGTACCTCACATCGAAGCTCATAAGGACTTTTTCAACTTCAAAACTATCATTGACTCCAAAAGTTATACTCGCTTCATAATACACATTCCCGTTGATGCATTTATTTATTAGTCCCCAGGAGAATCGAGGGTCATGTTTAGGGGTGTTTTGTGTCACTCTCCATGATTCTTGAGGTCCCAAAGTAAAAACAAGAGGATCTTGGTTACAGCATGAGAAGCGCAAGACTTTATACTTATCCTCGACCGGATCGTATCCGAAAAAGCTACAGACACATGCCACTTTTGGTTGGGGTTCGGGTAAGGTAACATGTTGTCTCATGGTTGGATTCCAAAGTACAATATTCCCAAAAAAGCCTCCCAAACATATCAAGCCATGGACCGATTCAGACTGATAATCAAATTTTGGAGCATTTTTTCGAAAACGCTCGACATGAGGATAAGATGATCTGTCCGAATTTTCATGTTGAGGGATTGAGCAGGAAAGACGGTTGTCCCTTGTGTTCACGCAGACGAAAAGACACAACCGAGTTGAAGAATGACTCACGAACGACCTTAAAAAATCTGGACGAGTGGTGATGGATGACCATAGCTTCGAGACGCAACGGAACTTTGCAGCGGATTTAGCAGGAAGTCTCAAGAGTATCTCATGAATCAGATCAAGAGGAGTCATCACGAGAAACTTTCTACAACTCTCATCTTCTTTAGATTGTATACTTATTTCTTTATCTTCCGCCTCTTCTTCTCCTCTATCCATTGGCGACCACTAGGGTTTTTGTTTAACCCTAATTTTTTTCTCTTGGTCTCTCTCTCTCCTCTCACGTATTCGTCATATTAAATAAAGAAATTTACCCTATTAAATACAAAACAACTGTTGCCAAAAAGAAAAAAATTAAAACAAAACCTCTTGAATCAATCAGAGGCTTTTGAGTTTTAGTGATTTTTTTTTGGTTTTGGAGCTGTTACTGTTAAAGTATTATCGTGGAAATTGAACCCTGAAGAAAACACTCTATGTGGAAATTGAGCTCCTTATATCTATGTTTATTTCTCTTTGAAATTTAACTAAGTGAGGTCTATATGAACATTGTTGCTGTTAAAAATTTCTCATAGGTCATATATGGTCTGAATGCTGATGGTGATCTTTTCAATGCAGCTCTGCTTTCAGCTGTTGCCGCCTTTCCGAATTGTAAGTACTTCTTCGTTCTTATCCTTTAGTTGGTTTCATAGCTCTTCTAGAACTCCTATGACTAAAGCTTTTTCCTAAGCACATACTTTATTGATTTCTTTTCGAAACTGCAAAGAAGAGCAAGGCTTAGATAACTCATATGACCGATCCATCGATCACCAAGAGCAAGAAGGAAGCAGTGAACAAGGAGAAGAGAAAACTCACACTTAAGAACTTGTCATTCTCTTTAACTTGCATTCTCCATAAGAACCAAATCTTAGCAGATCCATCAACCGAAGAATAATATAATCGTGGACACACTACCATTATTTTAGACTCCACGAACAAATGTTGAAGAATTCGAATTACCGAAAAAATCTAAAACTTTGGTACACTGATTTATTCGAACTTTGAAGCCAAAATTTTTACCGAGATAATTGCTAACCTCATCATTAGTGGTGTTGATAAAAAGTGAATCTTACAAAACGAAGCAAAGAGATCTGATCTACAAAGCCAAAATATAACATCTTTATACTTACTGGTTTTGTTTTTGCAACAAGAGGCATCATATATAAATTATATTAGTAGACTTATAAAAAAATCCAATGAAATTAGAGCAAAGTAGCCACATGATCACGGAACGCGGTTTTTGGTTTTTAAAAGATTAAACCTGAGAGGGAGATTTGGGTAACAGATAATTAAATTGGTAATTTAAATTGACCAAAGTTTTAAGTAAATGTCATCCAAATCTTCATCTCAAATGAATCCATATGATCAAAAGGCTCTAATGTAACCGACACGCGATGATCTATCCACAACTTTTAAGAGATTAAATTTGAGATGGAGATATGGGTGACAAATAATTAAATTGGTAACTTAAATTGACCAAAATCTTAAGTATTAGTCACCCATATCTTCATCTCGAATATGAATCCAAATGAACAACGCTCTTATGTACGAGGACAAACAACTTTCTCTTCTCTAACAAGAGATAAAACCACAGTGTCATGAACATAACTAACATAATCACTCTGTTTAACAAGAGATAGGCGTCGATATCTATCTATTGTAAAATCAAACATGAGTATACGAATCAAAAATATCCCTTCATGGTTAAATACATACTCATGTTTGATTTTACAACGGAGAGATTTCGACATCTATCTATATCCATCGGCGACTCACTTTGGTTTTTTCTTTAACCCTAATTTTCTGCTAGGTCTCTCTGTCTCTCACGTATTTATACTACAAAAAAAATTGTTGCCCAAGAAAAAACCTAAAATAAACCTTCTCAATCAATCAGAGGCTTTTGAATCTGTTACCGTTAAAGTGTTGTATGATTCCGTTAGAATCCGCAACTCCGTTAATAATTTTCCGTTTTCTTTTAGTGAAGAGAAAAAAAAAAAAAACACAGACCTCTCTCTTTCTTTGTTCATATGTTTTCATGGATAGTGGAAGAGATCAAGTGAAAGAAAAAACTCTCAGATCTGGAAATTGAGCTTCTTAGATCTATGATTCTTCAAATCTGTTGATCCATTTTTCGCGTTTATCGTCTCCGATCTGATTTCATCAGCTTCGTACCGCTCCGGCGTTGATAAATCATGAATCCTTTCTCTTCCGGCACGCGTCTCAGGTTAGCAATCACTTTGCTCCGATCTCCAACCATTTTCTTGTGTTTCTACTGTCTAAATCCGTAATGTAGCTTTGATTCTTCTAGTAGTCGGCAAATTCAATCGGAAATGAAGATTATCAGTAAATGTATAGGCTGATTCTGGAGATTGCATTTCATCTTAGCATGTTGTATGATTGAATCGTCCTAGGACTTGATCAAGCTTCGATTCTTTAGAAATTGAGAATATGTAACTATAAATGCATTCATCGTTTTATGTTGCAGCGACATGATTCGGGCGATACGTGCGAGTAAAACCGCTGCTGAGGAACGTGCTGTTGTGAGGAAAGAGTGTGCTGCGATCCGTGCTTCGATTAATGAAAATGACCAGGACTACAGACACCGGGATCTAGCAAAGCTTATGTTCATTCATATGCTTGGTTATCCCACTCATTTTGGGCAGATGGAATGTTTGAAGTTAATTGCTTCTCCTGGATTTCCAGAGAAGAGGATTGGTTATCTTGGATTAATGTTGCTTCTTGATGAAAGGCAAGAAGTATTAATGCTCGTCACCAACTCGTTGAAGCAGTATCCTTTATGGTGTTAATTTTCGAATTTGATTCCCTAGTAGTATTGAACTTTTTGCTTGCAGCTTCGTACAAATTTTTATATTCACCTTGTGAGAACCTTGACACAAGTCTAGAGATCTGAATCATACGAACCAATACATTGTGGGGCTTGCTCTCTGTGCTTTAGGAAATATTTGTTCAGCAGAAATGGCTCGTGATCTCGCCCCTGAAGTTGAAAGATTACTTCAATTTCGGGATCCAAATATTCGCAAGAAAGTGAGTGTTTTCTCGGATTGTCATTGTACCTGTTCAGATAACAGGTGTCTGTTGTGGGGTTCAGTGGTGGAAATGTTGGAAAACTTTAGATGCTATGTTTATGTGCATGTTTTAACTAAATGAAGGCTGTAATTTAAGAGCTATGTATCATTTTCACGAATCTTCACTTTACTTCTGTCATTTTTTTGGTATCCATTGACTACTACATTATAATGAACTTTTCATTCATTAACTTTTTTTCTTTACTTAGGCAGCTCTTTGCGCCATAAGGATCATCAGAAAAGTTCCGGATCTTTCTGAGAACTTTATTAATCCTAGTGCTGCTTTACTCAAAGAAAAGCATCATGGTGTTCTCATTACGGGAGTTCACCTTTGCACAGAAATCTGTAAAGTCAGTTCCGAAGCCCTTGAATATTTCCGGAAGGTAATTTGCTGATATCCTATCTATTTGGTTAAATGATTATTAGGATGCCTTATATGTTGTAGTATGCACTCTTCTTCTTTCTTGGAGAATCTAAAATTAGCTCTGCACTTGTTCATTAAACTTCTTTTTTTAACTCTTAGCCTTCTACTGTCTCATGGCTTCATTGTATCTGGAATCTATATCATCCCCACAGATTCCATTTTGTCTTTTTAGATTCATGATCTTCCTGGGACCCTTGCATAAGTTTTGCTTGTTTCCAGAAATGATTTTAGTGTTTTCAATCTTATGAAAATTAGCGGTTTCCTTATCTGATTGACAGAAATGCACAGAGGGCTTGGTTAAAACCCTAAGAGATATTGCAAACAGTCCATATTCACCTGAGTATGACGTCGCTGGAATTACGGATCCATTTCTTCACATCAGATTGCTCAAACTGTTGCGTGTTTTGGGACAAGGCGATGCAGAGGCCAGTGACTGTATGAATGATATACTTGCTCAGGTTTGTTCGTACTTTGTCTGTTGAGCTTTTTCCTCAAGGCTTTGTTGGCATGAATTACCTGGCTTTTCATGTTCCGTTGTCTTTGTGATCCTTTATTTGTTGTTCAAAAACTTCCTTTTTGTTATTTTCATACTGTTTTGTTCTTTCTGATTTTCCAAAATTAATAGAAGAATTCCACAAAAACTACATCTCAAACAATGGTTATTAATGAAGCCTTTTTCTCACCTTTATGGGTTTTGCTACATTGATTTTTTTGTTACGTTTGCTTTGATATATATCAGTCAGGATCATGATCACAAATAATCATTTTTGATTCCCCACTTGATTTTTTAATGTCTTAGGTGGCATCAAAAACCGAGTCAAACAAAAATGCAGGCAATGCTATCCTATACGAATGTGTTCAAACAATAATGAGCATCGAAGAAAATGGTGGTTTACGAGTCCTTGCAATCAATATCTTGGGAAAATTCTTGTCCAACCGAGATAATAACATCAGGTGTTTATCGAGTACCACCCTTATTTGAGTTTTCTGTAACCTTATCTCTGACATCTTATTATTCATCTACAGTAATTTTCCAATTTTTGTTTGCTAGAATGCCGATAAGAGTTGTGACACTCATATATGTTTAGTTTGCAGTGATTCTGTTTTCTTTCTACTTGAAGGAGATGCTGTTTATATAGATAAAATAAACCAAACCTGAAATGTTTTGACAGTTTTGTGTGTGGATGGAACAGTTGTATGTTGAAGACATTTTGTGAAAATTGATAACACACTTCATCTGATGCCTTTCTTGTCTCTCCACTGACCACCTTCCAGAAGATAATAAACCTTAGCTTTGCTTTCTCAGATACGTAGCATTAAACATGCTGATGAGATCCTTAACTGTTGATTCCCAAGCGGTTCAGAGACACAGAGCTACAATCCTGGAGTGTGTTAAGGTATTTTATGTGGAGTTACTTCTTTGTTAGGGTATCTTATTGATTTACCAGACGATTGTGTTTCCACTGTTTTTACTGGTTATAGAATGCAATTTATGCATCAGAACTGTATCATGCTTCCCGACTTTATGTCCTAGTATAGTAACTGAATCTGTTTACATGTAACCATCCAGTTCTGTTTAGGTGGACTGAGATGATTCTTGATTAAATGGAAAGTGTTTAATATCTTTTGGTTTAGGATTCAGATGCTTCAATTCAGAAAAGGGCACTTGAGCTTATTTACCTTCTGGTGAATGAGAATAACGTGAAGCCACTAGCAAAGGAGCTTATAGAATATTTGGAAGTAAGCGAACAAGATTTTAAAGGAGATCTTACTGCAAAGATATGCTCCATTGTTGAAAAGTAAGTTGCCCAACTTTTCAGCCAGCATGTACTGAGATTTCATTCTTCTAGTATATGGTTACTGAACATTTTAATTTGTATCAAAGTTGGGCGTTAAGCTCAATTAATAATCCCTAAAGTTTATCAGATGCTGGCCTGGATAAATAGTGTTCATCAGACCTGATTGGTTACTGAATTTTGGTATTTCCTTTTGACTAGGTTTGCTCCAGAGAAAATCTGGTACATTGATCAAATGCTAAAGGTTCTATCGGAGGTAATTTTTAGCCCAGGTTGTAAGATTACGTTTTTCCATACTTATCGGCACCAAAGGACATGCAGGCTTCTTTAACTCACAACAAACTTTTTACTTCATATGAAAGTAAGTAGATCCTAATCTGAGCCTTCTAATCTTGATTATGTTCATAACAGGCTGGAACTTATGTGAAAGAGGATGTATGGCACGCGCTGATTGTTGTAATAACAAATGCCCCTGATCTTCATGGGTACACTGTCAGAGCTTTGTACAGAGCATTACATACATCTTTTGAACAGGTAGATGACATAATTTTTTGGTCAGACATTTCCTAAATTTGAATATCTTGTAACTTAGGAGTAAGAGTGTCATTATCATGTTTGGGCAGGAAACGCTTGTCCGCGTTGCAATATGGTGCATAGGAGAATATGCTGATCTGTTGGTTAACAATGTTGGAATGCTTGACTTAGAAGATCCAATAACGGTAAGTACTATCATCCTGCACTAAGGGTTTATTGTTGTGACTGATACTGGATGCGCAATTAGGGGATCTCTTTCTTACTTTGTCTTTTTTTTTCTTTGTCTTGTAAAATTTTTATGCTTCACTGATTTGCTTGGGGATCCTCACACCCCTAGAAATATTAACTCTTCGTTTTGTGGATTTTCTGCGCTGGCTAGTTTTCTGGTTGATAAAAAGTGAAGAAAATGGTATCGTCTCAGCTGTTATTTTCTGTGTCTTAAGGGGATGTTTATTCCTTACTAGTTGATTGCTCATTCAAATAGATCCATTACTGAACATTTCTACCTGCAACATTTTGAATGATCTACATGCTAAAGATATAGTTTTTAATGTAGATATTAGGAGGATAGATATTAATTTGTGTTCTCAAGCTTCTGTAATCAGGTAACAGAATCAGATGCAGTGGATGTTGTCGAGACTGCTATTAAGCATCATACATCGGATGTCACGACTAAGGCAATGTCACTCATTGCTCTGTTAAAGATCTCATCCCGTTTCCCTTCCTGTTCAGAGTATGCCAACTCCTACCTAGCTATATTATTTCTACACAGCTGATTCTAGATTTTCTATCATTAGGGTATAATCACGCATGAACTCTATTCATTTTTTTTATTAATTAGGTCGCAATGAAAATTAGTCAATGATACTTCTCACCAATGATGGGCTTACTGTATTTGCTTACAGGAGGGTTAAAAGTATTATAGGGCAGAACAAAGGTAGCTTTGTCTTAGAACTGCAACAAAGATCCCTGGAATTCAGTTCAGTTATTCAAAAGCATCAGAATATAAGGTAATTCTTTCAATGCTACTGGACATATCTGTTTTAATCAATTTTAAATGAGAGAGTTCCCTAGGTATTGATCTACTAAATTACTCAACACAATCAATCAATATATATGCAGATCTGCCCTGGTTGAAAGAATGCCGGTCCTTGATGAGGCAACATTTAGTGGAAGGAGAGCTGGTTCTTTACCAGCAGCTGTGTCAACTTCTGGAAAATCTCCGCTTAGCATTCCAAACGGTGTTGCTAAAGCTGCTCCAGCTCCTCTAGTAGATTTACTCGACCTTGGCTCTGATGATACTCCTGCACCTACCTCCTCCAGTAACAACTTTCTTCAAGATCTTCTTGGTGTTGATTTAACGCAGCCTTCAGCACAACCTGGTTAGATTTCCAAGCTTATACTATTCCACTTCACCAGTTCAAAGAAAAAATTAACTTATTTAAGATTTTCTTGTATTGCAACTGATAATGTTAACCATCTGTATGGCATTATCTTCTTGGAGTCTAAGTTAGATCATAATTCATATATGTTTTCTTCAGCCAGATGATTTTGTCTGGTCATGTTTCCTCAACTGCAGTATGGCCTGTCCTAACAATGACTCGAAGAAAACTGTAAATTTTTTAGTGAAGATTAGTAAATGGTGTTACGTTTTGTAGAGAGTGTAGGATGTTCAGTTGTGAAGTTTCACATAGTTTCTAAATCTTCGGCCCCTTTATTTACCCCTCCATTTGTCAATTTCAGGTGCCATGCAGCCATCAAAAGCTGGCGCGGATATTCTTATGGATCTGTTGTCAATTGGAACTCCTGCCCCTGTGCAAAATGGCTCAACGAATGGAGACTTGTTATCTATTCAAGATAACAATGCTCCAATAGCCTCCATGGATACAATTTCTGCGCCTTCTTCGATGATGGATTTATTGGATGGATTTGGTCCCACCCCACCAAAGAGCGGTAAAGATGCGCAATATCATTGAAGATTTACTTGCATACTTTCCCCTCTTTCTCCATGTTTTCAAATGTGATGATGGCATCTCTTTTCTTCCATGACAGAGGACAAGGGTCCAGCATATCCGTCCATTGTTGCATTTGAAAGCAGCTCCTTGAAGATTGAGTTCAACTTCACAAAGCAATCAGAAAATCCTCAAACTACAGACATTGTGGCTAATTTCATAAATCTTACTCCTAGCGTGTACACAGATTTTCTTTTCCAGGCTGCAGTTCCAAAGGTCAGGTCCCAAATTTGCTTTTTCTGCTTACGATATAAGCCTTATGATTCATAGCTAATAAAACCCAATCTTTCCTAAACAACAAGACTGCCATGGGCTTGGTTCTTGGCTTAAACGGTCCGTGATATGTTTTGTTGACGGTGATGATCTAATATATGTCATCACACATTGCAGTTTCTACAACTTCACCTGGATCCCGCTAGCAGCAACTCTCTTCCAGCCAACGGAAACATCAAACAAACTATGAGAGTTTCAAATAGCCAACAGGGGAAGGTACCGTACCCTTTGTCTTTTTTTCTCTCTTCACCAGATTTTTATAACAACCAGCACAAACCTCAATCTGTTGTGAAACCAAGACCACAAAGCTCTCAGAATAATCGATGTTCTTCTCTTGTTTCAGAAACCCATTGTGATGCGGATGAGGGTAGGTTACAAGATTAATGGCAAAGATGTGTTGGAGGAAGGACAAATCAACAATTTCCCACGTGGTTTATGAGAACTTTTCAGGTATCCCAAGATTCATATACATATTCCTAATTCAATATATATAATCACATCCCTTAGACTTCTTCATAGAACGTTTGTGTGTGTGATTCGTTGGCTTTGTGTGAAATCTGGGTTTAAAGAGAGATAACTTTTTGATAGTTTGAGTTATGAGAATCTGTTTCGTCAAATGGTTTGTTCTCCTTGCTCCTTCAAGTTATTTTCTATCATTAATAAAACTTTTCCTTTTTGATGATTCTGTCGAGTATGTATGTGTATTAGCATTTTTGTTACGTATATTTTAAATTTAAAATTTGAGTTTTGAATGAAATTTATATCGAATGTATACGTTCATATGATTTTGATGTTGTCGTAGTTCAAGTTTAATGAGTGGATTTGTCATATTAGTGGCGAGTATGGATTAATTTAGTTAGTCTATGGGAAAGATTTAAGACGACAATATATTACTTCTCAGAAAACATTATGAATACTCATTTTCCATGGCACTAGTAAGAAAAATTGTAGTTACGTTATTTAGAAAAAAATTTCTATTTCGTTTACGAAAAAAACTTATTTTTGTGTAATATCATTAACTAAATCAGTATAATAATTGGAAATCAAAAATTGTAAAATTAGATGGACAAAAGTTTACTTTTAAACAAAAATTGTATATGACATATAAAGACACCTAGGCCTCCTATATTGTTTATGCACTACTCAAACTGTTTACATTCCCGTCCAAATTGCAGAATTTTCACTTCTGCCTAAACATGTTGATTAAAGTGTAATCGTCATAGTCCGTTTTCTTGAACATTTATTAAAACATAAAACGATGTAATGCAATCATTTGATTAGTTATCTGGTTTATAGTATGAACATACCGATCAAAGTAATAGCAATTTCATTTTCAACATTTATTGTAGCTATATATAGCTAAACAAAACAAAATAAAAGAAGTCCTTTATACCTAAAATTTTGTGGATTATATTTGTATATATGATGATGTAAAGTTTAAAAGTCATGAGATGTGATTCATATGGAACAGTGCAGTACCACATCACTTATCTAAAAAGTTTGACTATACCACATCAGTTCTTTGCTCACTTCTCAACTATTCGGCACTACGATTTTCTCAATATTTGGTGCTAGTTATAAGAGAATTACATTATTTTCGACCAAATGCAGTATTCCATGACTCTTTTATACATAGGGTGATGAATTGAAATAAAGAAGAACAACTTGGTAATAGTCCAAAGAAGCCTAACATTAGAAATTCCATATATTGCAAAGTAAGAATATTTTACATATTAATTTTATTTTATAATTTTACGTAATATTTTGTTCAAGACATGGAATCTGCAACATTTTTAACACAAGTACCGTTAAAACAACGTACTACGTCACTATGTCAGAAACAAGACATACATACTGCTACAATGCAAATATTATAAGAAAATAATTTATATTATTTTTGACAACTAAGAGAAAAATAAAATCTAAGAATTACAAATGTCAGACTACGAAAATTCTTAGTACAATTTATACTTATTGTACGACAAAAAAAGAGAGATATTTTACTAGACTCAATAATCCTCACTAAGAAACCCACCGATCTTATTCTCTCTATCGTAATTATTGTTGCTGCAATTATTGCTATAGTTATACATATCATTATTACTATTGTAATTATTATGATTATGATTATTACTACCCTCACCCACCAAATCATTACGTTCAACCCTAAACGCATCGTTTTGTTCTTCTTGACTCATTTCTTCTTTAGCACTGTGGTGAAACGGGTAGTACCCTGGCTGCGTTGCCGGAGGTACAACCGATGGAAGCTTTGAGAGAAGCGCCTCGAGGCTACTCATCGACGGCGTTATCTTCATCGAAATCGGTAGAGGTGGAGCAGCCGCTCCTACAGCTTGTGGCTGGTTGTGATGGCCCATCAAGAAGCGGTGGTTGTGGTCAGAGTGGTAAAACTGGTGTTCATGCTGCTGATGCTGCGGAGGAGCCACTCCCGGAAAATGCCACGTGTCAGAAGGAGAAGTGTTGATGAAAGGGTAACCAGAAGAAGAAGGATGAGGAAGTAGTACTCCAGGGATGCTCTCTATATAGCTCAGCTTTTTTCTTAGCATCACAACATAGCTCAAATCCTCTATCACCTTTTAATTAATATAACAATTTAATACGTAAATATATCTTCTTGCTTGCATATCAATATAAATACAAAATGTGTAACGTACAGAGAGAGAGAGAAAAAAAACCTTGTGAACAGCTCCTAACTGGACAACACCTTCTCGAACAGAAATCAAGGCAATGGTCTGCAAAACATTTTCACGTAATTATATATATAAAGATATATACTTAAATAGTTAGATAGATGATAATACATATGTAAAACCACGTATGAAAATGTTAAAAGAAAATAGAGATCGAGTTGAGAAACATACTTTGATACCAGACTGAAACTGAGCTTCCCATGTCCTAGGGTACTGCAAAAAATTACGTAACTTTCAATTAGTGTTAGTGAATAAGAATGCTTATACATTTGTGTGTGTAAATTTCACATATATACATTGGTACACTTTATTTTCTTCTTATAATATGTAAAGGAGTGTATAGTGTATAGGTAGGTTATAAGCATATGCTTACTGAGTCAGCAGAATTGTGCCAAGCAGATAAGAAGTTAATCTCTTGGTCATTAGGTTCTTTATAAATCCACTTGTGACTGTGATCTGCAGCTACTTTTCCTATCAACCTGCACAAAATTTAATAACACTTTTTCAATCATTAGAGGATTATTAAATTAATTAACAACCATTATAATATTTAGTTGACAATGATTAGTTTAATACTCCCTTCGCCAAAAACAAATACTTAAATACTCCTCTCTTATCAGCTTTTTGATCAAAACACTTTGCAAACAATGTTCAAGACTTTTTAAGCAAATATGGATAAACTTTGAAATTAAAAGAGGTACTTTGACTCATAACTTTCTAAAACCAACTTATTTACATATACATACATATGGATATAAAATGTGAGTTAGAAAATAGGTATTGAAATGGTATGGACTTGGGTCCAAAAACTCAATTAACAAAAAAAGTGAAACCCAAAAGAGAGAAAGTACTGTATACAAAAAAAAAAAAAATTGGAAAAAGTTGTTATATTTCTTTGTGTAAATGTCATTTAATTTTTGCTGAAAAATATATGTATATTATCCTCACAGACCCTTCTCCGTAATTGTAGATTTCATGAGACATCTTGAAGAACAACTCAGGCTGAAGCCCTTGGTATTGTTGAAAATCACTATTTCCATAGCCCGTTGAGCCACCGCCGCCGCCACTACATTCTCCGGAGCTCATGTCCGCGGCAGAAGCTGCAAAGTTGCAAAACCCATCTTCCCAAACCAAGATCCTGCCAATTATTTACATACATACACCAAGAAAATTTTATATATACATAAAAGTTTTGTAACATATGTACATATACATATAAGTAGTTTTACCATACCAGTTTCTCCTGTTCCCTCTTGATCTATCATAAGCTCCTTGACCATCCCATCTACTAGCAAAAAACATGAAATTATCAATATATATTTACCATTTAAACAAAGAATTGTTTCTTAATGAATATTACCTATATTTTATAACAAATGCCCCAAAAAACTCACAATAAGAAAATAATAACAAGAAAGTAGAAATATTTTCGAAATTAAAAACCGAGTTTTATAATTGTTATATATATATATATAAGGTTGATTTTGATGATAAGCTTACTTGGGAGGTGGATAGTTTCTGGGCAAGATCCTCCAGAAGACAGCATAAACCCATTGAGAATTCTCATGGATGCATAAGCTTCTTAGTGTGTGTTGAAGAAGATGAGTCACTGCTAATGGATTTAGATGTTCTTCCATTTATTCTAAATTTACAAATTTAAAGGCTTTTTTATTTTTTTGGTTCTTTTCTCTTTATTTTTCTTTTGGTTCTCTGTGTAAAGACTTTCTTTAGATAGAAGAAGGTAGAAAACCCTCACTATCTATCCCCCTTTATATAACAAGCTTATAGATCCACTCCCCAAAGCATCTTTTTATTTTTTTATTATTTTTTTATATTTCATTTTATTAAATTTTGATGGAGATAATAAATTGAATTCTTTACTTCTTTGGCTTTTCCTCGTGTTTAGCCATTTACCTAACGTTACTTTATTCGTGTTTTATTTACTCTTTTTTTGTTTTCTTTTTGGCAAGTAAGTAAAAGTCACATAATTTATGACGCATGAAAAACTGTAAGTATGGTAGACGTTTAATAACGTAGATACAATATAATTTTAAATTTAAAGGATATATAATTTTTGAAGAAAAAGATAAGTTTTTTAACAAAGTTTTTTTTTAATATATGCAAATTAATTTTTTGAACTTTCCTTAATAATGCGGAAAATTAAAATTTAGTTTTGGATATTATATATGGTCTTATGGTGTAAGTGTAAATCGCTTACTAAGTAAAATTTTAAAAATAGCATTTCAAAAGTTAAAAAGAAATCCTCAAAAATCGCTTATTTGATGACATTTTTTAGTTTTTTTTTTTATATAGACAGACGTGGTCTCGGCTATAAGGTTTGAGATATAACTTGCGTTCAAAGACTCGATGGTTCAATATTTAGTTTGTTCATAAACAGATTTTAAGTTTCTCCAACAATATACTATCGAAATCGTAGTCGTTGTAGTTTGTCTCTAGTGACTTAAAATAAAAATATATTATTAAGAACAATTTTCAGATTCATGTTTGTGCATGTATTTACAAAAGAAATCAATAGAACAACATGTACAATATTGTAGTATGGGTAGACATAAATACATGTTATGTTAGCCATCTCGTAGTCTTTATATATTCTGTATATTCAGAAAAAATCAAACTACGCCAGATTTTTGGATCGGCACATCCAATTACAATTAGATTATCGTCATGTAAGCATGATTTCTTTTCAGCTACACATGATCTTTTAAGTTGAATATACATAAAATCTATTGATAGTTCGGACAAGATCTATATACCAAGAATACCAAATTTTGCAAGTTTTATGACTATGTCAACCTTTAATTCTGACTATAATGTAGAGATAACATATTCATCATTATTGGGTTTTACACTAAATGAGAAACTGTCTATTTACCTGAAAATCATATGTAAGTTAATGAATACATTTTCAAATAAGTTTTTCCTTTTTCTGACAAAACTGTCAAATTGATTTAATTTCAAATCCTATGAAATAAAGGTTTGGGGTTTTTCCTTTTACCAACACATTCATTTATTTTCAGTTCAGTGGTCAGTTAACGAAAACTGTACCTCTTTTTTTGATTCTTTTGTACATGTGTTTTAATTTATCTCTCTCACCTCTATTCTTCTCTTTCCTATTCTCTTATAAAAAATTAAATTCAGTCTACTAATTAATAAAGTTTTCGGAAAAATTGATATATTGATATGAACTCTCGTGCATTGAAGTGTCTAACATATAACTTTACTAGTGAGAAAAATGATGTTTCATGCACGAGAGTTCATACATAAATTTTTTTCGAAAACTTTTAGTTGCACAAAAAGTCAAAATATACATGTATGGATTTATGCACATGCTATGGTCTTAGGAATCAAAATCTCATTGATGATGCTACGGATTTAATAAACGACATTATACAGGTATATCACCAAAATCAGAAAACACATGATATTTAAGTCAAATCAAAATCCAAATCATTATACACCTAGGAATTTAACAAGACATCTCTACATTAGGAGATGTTACGTTTGTGAAAATTATAGTACTTAAAGGACCCCACAGTTTGTGGTAGAGCTAATTCAAATGTATCACATGGATCCTTATGATAGTTTTGACGAATTAAATGATTCGTTTTTGGACAAGGATATTGACTTATTGAGACATAAATTCGAAGTTAATATATATATATATTTTTTTTGTTTTTTAACATCTACTTAATTAAGCATAATATAAAATACTAAAATGCATGTAGTCCAATGATTATTCTCTTTTGTTGGTCAAAGCTAGCCTACGAATTGATTTTTTCTTTACTGTTGTATCATCTGCAGCATCAATTTCTCCTGAGAGGTATCAATTATGTGATTTTCGACTTTAAATTCACCTTCAATGATGTTGAAGAATAAGAGCTAACGAGGATCAATGGTAACTAATGATATATCAGTTTTTCATCTAATTATCAGAAAAGCTAGTCAAATCCAATAACTATTTGGCATCTTTATTCACCCCAAATATTCACTCATATAAAATTAACATCATCTTACTGATTGATATATATATATATATATATATATATATATATATATATATATAATCATGGTTTGGTTTTGTTGTTCTAATCACGATATTGGATGGCCCGGTACATAGATCTTAATAGTCTTTCCTTAGTATTATCTATTATGTGTTCATATAGGGTTCTTAAAAGTTTAAAAAGTCTCCAGATTCGCAGATGCCGATCGAAGCACTTAATTCAGAGTCTCCCTTTAAAGGAATTCTATGGGATTCTCCAAGATATCCTTCTACTATGCATGCAGAATTTCATTTCTCCTACAATACTAAACAACTAAACCAGTCCCTGTTCTAAAAATCGGCCGCCTAGGCGCTGATCGGGTGGGGACCGTGGCGATTTTGTCCAAATCGGTAAAAAATATCGGTGATCCGATTATCGGTGATCCGATTTTTGTCCGCCTAGACCGCCTAGGCGTCCGCCTAGCCCGCCTAGACGTCGCCTAGCCCAATTTTTTTTTTTTTTTTACATTTTTTTTTCTTTTTTTTTGATAACCCAGTGTCCAGACCACACAGTGATCCGACTAGCCCACTGGGCCTAAGCCCGCGTGCCTGGGATTTTTAAGCCTCCACTTAAGGGCCCCCCGGAACTGGTGGTCTGGGACGCTGCGCCCCGCAGGTAAATTGCGCAGTGGCCAAGTGGAGATCTAGCAATTGCGCGCTTGCGGGGAATCGATCTCTGGCCTAGACCAACAGGGCAACTCCTCCACAAGTGGCAACCACTAGACCAAGAACACTTGGTTTTTTTTTTTTTTTGAATCTAAAATTCAAAACGTCCCACTTATATTTCATAATTTGTATAAAAATCATAAATTTGACCTTAAATTCTTGTTTTCATGTGTTTAATGCAATTTTAAAAACAATATTATATAAATTTCTTATTTATAATAGATTAATATGTTTTTAAAATATTAAATAGCCTTAAAACTAATCCCCGATTAATCCCCGTTTAATCTCCGATTTTTTTGCTAGGCGCTAGGCCCGCCCTCACCGCCCGACTAGCGCTAGCGATTTTTTTAACATGGAAACCAGTTATGAGACATTTCCCCTTCACATATCATTTGTTCAATAGATCGAGTTTTAAACCATAATTACTTCTCGATGAAGCATAATGGTCCACATATGCATAAATTGAAGCAAAAAAAAGTGTACGTTGGAAAACTTTTATCATTTTGGTACGAAGATTGTGTGCCCACGTAGCTAGGTTTAGGGACTAGAAGTAGAAATAATAATAGATGCTTCATTTAATTTATCATACATCTCTCTCTATACGGATAGAAAAAATGAATTAAAAATGTGGAAATGGTAAGAATAATAAGAAAATAAAAATGGAAATAGATTGTAGGAAAAAGACATGATGACTAAAAGGAGCTTTCAGTGCTTTCAATTCAGCTCTGAGGCTGACACTAAGAAAGTGTTTTTGGGCAGACCATTATGCTCTTGTCTTTGACCATTCTTCCTACCTTCTCTCCTTTTTTTTTTTTTTTGAAAAAACTAAGTTCTCTAATTATGTTTACATGTTTTGGTTCTACTTCTCATAATTTAGGTGCATATTGTTTGGTATATACTTTACAAAATCTTGAAAAGAAAAAAATATGTATTTCGAACTAAAAAAAATTCTCTTTTAGTTGTCTGTAGTGCTTGCAAAAATTTTAAAGATCAAAATATTATCCATTCCATTTTTCTCAAAATTTTGGTATATAACTCAATTTTATTAGTTGTTGCATGTCCAATAACTTTTTTTGAAACTTAAGATTTTTTTTTCTCATTGCTAACATGGAAATCGGAAGTCGTAAAGAGGGAAAAATACTTACGATTTACATTATGTTACAGAAAAAGGTGATATTTTTTTATTACAGAATTATGCATCTAGCAAGCAAATATAAAAAAAATCTGTAAGTTATGGGCTCACATAAAAACGTATCTGTTTATTAGAATGTGGAGATTCGCTTTCGAAGTTTATAAGTTTTTTTTATAATGAGTTTGAGAAGCTGATACATCTTATAAAATCAATATATAGTTTTTTTTCTTAATTCATGTGAAAAAATATTCACATGCATAGTCTTTAATGTTCATAGGTCTAGCAATTTGTCCACACCTCTTAGATTTTCTAGATAGGGACAGACATTGCAATCTTTACTATCTCTCTCTTGGCTTCTTCCCCTGGCAACCCATATTTTGTATTTTCATCTACATATATAAATACACACACATAGTTATATTTTTATATATCTATGTAAAATTAGTACATATATATATATATATATATATATATATATATTTAATGAGTTTTTGAATAACATATAAATGTAATAGATACTCTCTCGGTTTCAAAATATATGATATTTTAGTTAAAAACACATAGTTTAAAAAATTTAATTTTCTTGTTAAACTATTATTTAATATTTAACTTTAAAAAATCAACTAATTACAAAAAAATTGTATGATATAAATAATCATAAAATATGAAATACATTTAAAATTTGTATTGAAACTTGTAATATATTTTATATAATAAAACAAAATAAAAACTCTAGAACATCATATATATTAGATAATAAAGCAGGGGGAGTATTATTTAAAGTACATTGAAAGCGAACAAGTTATACTTGAAGCATATTATACTAAAGTATTTAGAAGTTTTCTCATTTCATTTAGCATGTGGTTTGAATGTTTTTAGGTGGATTGA